CCCTTCCCTCCAGCATGTCAGCTGCCCTTTTAAATTAAGACACCTTTTTAAAAGAAAAGTTTTTGTTTGCTTTTTTCTTTTAAGATATGGTATTTGATAAAAGCAAATGCCATTCCTGTGATGTACCTCCCAGTCTAAGGGCTCTGTTGGATTACTATGACTGAGCTCATATATTTTGCTTCAGATTTTCTAGTTAAAAAGTTAAATCAATCAATTTAAATGATGCCTTGCATAACAGTAAGGTGCACATCATCTGTATAAGTTATTTTCAGCTGTTTCAGTGCTGAATAACTCTTGTAGTGACATCTATGGGAATATAAATTACAGGGGAAAAAAAAAGCAAGGCAGAAAATAAGAGTAGATTTCCAGGGAATGCATAATAAAATGTGAATTCCCATGATGTTATAATAAGAAGGTAAACATTGAGATGTATTATTAATCATCATATCTGTAGCTGCTTCCTATTATATCAGAACAGCATGTATAAAAAAGAAAAAAAGAAAAACATTCTAAGGTTTAATACCCATTTAGGAAAAAATCTCCAAACCACAACTTCTTGGCACTGCAATTTATTTACTATGTGCAAATTCTCATCAGGCCAAGAGATGAGATTTGGGCTCCAAATCCTGGAAAGACTTTGAGGCAATACCATGATCTACAAATCAGAGGACAGACTTACCTTCTGCTCTTCAAGGAGTCCTCTCACAATGCGCAAGCGAACACCTTCATGCTTGATGTAAGCCACAGACTGGCTTGGTGAAGTTGACATAGTTTGCTCAAGTGGGCTGGTATCACCCAAAAACTTTTCACAGGCTGCCTTCATTTCTGCTACTGCAGGCTCGAGGATGTTCACCAGGCGGATTTCCATGTGACAGCCTCGTGGAACTGCCTCAACAAATTCCTTTATAGCCATTACAATCACTTGAGCACACAAGTGGAGGGGGAAGGCATAAAGGCCTGAACTCACTGCTGGGATAGCCACAGACTTTATAGCATTTTCTGGAGCAGTAACATAACTCAGAACATTCTTAATAGCTTCCTGAAGTAGGTCACAACATGTTTCTTTTCTTTGATCATTCCACTGTGGACCAACTACATGAATAACTTTCTTACAGGGAAGCTTCCCTCCGCCTGTCACTGCTATTTGGCCAGTTTTGACTCCTCCATATCTTAGAACATGAAGCTTGCTTTGCTCTTGTATTTCTGGCCCTCCAGCTTCCACAAGGGCAAGAGCAAGACCTCCTCCATGGTCTAGATTTTCATTGGCTGCATTCACCAAAGCATCAGCCTTGTGTCTTCTGAGATCACCCTTACAAACACAAATATCTATTCCCTGCTTTAGTCTTTTCCTGTATACTTCACCAGTGCTTGCTGTGCTTTTGAAGGCAAATGTACAAGCAAACTTTTTGGAAATGAGATTATTTAGACAGTTGTCTCTTCTCTTAAGAGCTTCATAGGTATCTTTATTGACAGGGATCATCAAGCTGACCTCATCCATTGCCAAGCTTGGCCCTAGGATACAGAATATAAAGTGAAATGGAGGATACAGAATATAAAGTGAAATAGAAGATACTACTGTCAAAACATTGCTTTTTATACAGAAATGTGGTTCATGGCTCTCAATTTTATCCTACTGTCATTACTAACCAATATTTTCTACACAGTCTGATCTTCTCTCTCTCCTTTCCAGAGGCTTAGAAAGCCCAGCTAATCAACGAAAGGCATTAAAAGATGACAAGAACAGTATCACTGAGCTTGTGGTGACTTGAGGGTTTGGGTTTGCCTTGCTTTTTTACCCGAGTAGGAAGTTTAGTTGTGTCTCCTCCTGGTACTTGTGTTCTCTCTCTCTCTCTTTCCTACTCTTTACTTACCTCACCATTAGGCTGACAGCCATTGTCAGGGACATTCTTCAATGAATCAGTGGCACAATCTGAATTTTTTAAAAATAAAGCACTCCACCAAACTTAATTTGGTTTAGAGCACCAACCACAAAGACTGACGCAGTAGCACAACTGAATGGGCTGAGGATAAATGGTGAGAAGGAGGAAAAAGGAACACACAGGTGCGAGAGGAGCATCTCTGGAACAGACACTGTTACAGGGCTTTGTTAAGTGGCTGCAGTGTCACCATGACGCTGGGCTGCATTGCACACTGCGACTTCAGCGGAGAAAGCAAAATGTGAAAAGTCACACCACAATCAGGACTTCAAAACGCTTGCAAAGCAGAAAACACCACTTCCTCCGCTCGAGGTTGTTTAGCTGAGAGGGCTGAAGCTTGCCTCTGCCCTCTCCAGGCCATTCCTAGCATTTTGTTCCTGATTGCCAGGAAGGTCCCAGGCTTTCGCAATTAGTGGCTCACAGCCACACCAGCAGAGGGACGTTCATGTGACTGTGTCACAGAGATCTTCTGCTGAGCTTTAATTCTGTGGCTCTTCTTAAAGGCCAGAAGCATTTTCTTTCTTTGTATGGGACTTAGGAGTTCAGAAAGGCTTTTTAAATCACTTTTTTTCGGGGAACAAGAATTACGTGGGGCAGTTTTTACATTATCACCGTGGCTGTACAGCCCTCTCCGGGCAGATGTCAGCAGTACTACATGCAGCAGTTAATTAGTTTAAATCAATTTGTATGAGTTTAATCAAACTTTCCTCCGAGGTATGCTACCTGCTTGTAAAGAGAGTCTAACGTTTTGCACTTAGAAAGTACACACACCAGTTCATCAAAACACTTCTGAGCTCTTACTTTTAAAAGAGAAATGCAAACAAATCCCAATGAAGTAATGAATGATAATGTTCATTCATAACCATGCCGAACTGGTACATTTCAGGTTGCTTTTGGCTATTTCATGTTTTCCATTTTGCTAGCTGTAGCTGGCAATTTTCGACTGAAATACAGACACACACTTTGCAAGTGGCTAAATGAGAGGCTTACCTAAACCGAACTTCTCTTTCACGATGTCTGGAATGTAACTCTACCGTAAAAAAAAGGGAAGAGAAAGCACACGTTACCGCCAGGTGTGCTGCCTTCCTACGGGAACAGTTCTGCCGCAAGCCAAACCGGCAGCACCAGCTTTTCAAACACCTGTACGAAGGTTTCTATGCTGGAGCTGCACAGAGCTCCGCGGGTGAAGTTACCCACTGTCACCTCTGGCTCCGGCTGACCCGCCGGGGCGAGAAGCTGGGAAATGCCACTTCTTCCCGAGCGCCAGCACAGAGAACGGAACTGTTGTGTTCCTTAAACCTGCCGCGGGGTCCCGTCCCAGCCTGCGGCGGCGGG